AGTGGGGGGAGCAGTCTGGCCGGACTGCAGGAAAACAGCCGGGGGCAGGAAGCAGCCTGCGTCAGCCAGAGCCTTGTTTGACCCCAGCCGCCCCCTGCCCTTCCCGCTCTCCCCAGCAAGCTACAGGGACTGGGACAGTTTGGGACTAGAGTTTGGGAAGAGTTTGGGTGGGAGCAGGATAGGACCAGACTGGACACCAACACCCCGGAAAGAGACAAGAGCCGGGGTGGGGAGGGCCCCAGGAGGCAGGAGAACCATGCTCTCATTGGCTGTTGGGGAAACTGAGGCCCAGAAAGGATTAGAAACAGGCCTGAAATGGCCCAGAGGGTGGGTTCGCAATCAGGTTGTAGACCTTCTCCTTCTAAGCGCTCACACCAGCATTTCCCACGCTTCCTACTTCAGATGTCTCCCTTGGGGTTGTGGGAAATACTGATTCCAGGCCCCACGCAGCTGAATCAGCCCTTCCAGGGACAGGCCTGGGGGTCTGCATTGCTAATCAACATCCCCAGGGATTTTGGTAGGGACCACCTTAGAGCAAGGCTGCTGATCTGGCTGACAGCTGGGTTTTTCTTCGGCCTCTCTCTGATGAGGGAGGGTCTTTCTGCTCCCTCACTTCTACTGTTTATGACACAGATAGTGCAAGGGAAACAGAGAAGTCCCTTTCCTTGGAAACTCCAGGAAGCCAATAATGATTCCCAAGGCTTACACTCAGACGTGGTTCTCACCTGATGTCTTGGAATGTGGGAGTGCCCACGTTGGGGACAGCTCAGTCCAGAAATGGGAGCTATAGGGAAGTACAGAACCCTGGCCTGTGTAGATGCAGTCAGAGAGAGAGACTATGGCTGAGGTCCTGGCCCCATATGAGCCACAACATGGCCAAACCCCTATCAGCACCCCCCAGTCCCCGCCCTGGCCCTGCCCTGGGCTCTGGCCTGCAGCCCAGCCCCAGCCCCCGCAGCCGCCGCCTGAGACCACAATTACAGGGGCCACTGGGGGTGGGGGAGCATGAGGGATGAAAGGCAACTTGGAGAATGGTTCCAGCTGTGGCCGCTCAGGAGGAGGTCGCCAGGAAGGAGAGCAGGAGAGAGGCACCAGGGTGAGAACAGGTGGGACCCCCACAACCCGGCCCAGCCCAGTCCAGCCCTGGCTCCGTCCTAGTGCTCAACTGGAGAAGTTTGTCCTTGTGAAAGAGAGAGAGGAGCTCCAGATGGCTAAGGAGATTCTTCGTCCTGTTGTCCAGGCCTTGGGGACCACCACCCTTCAGCAAGGTAAGGGAAAGTAGCTTGCTGCTTCGGTTTCCCCAAACTCCTTACATGTTTGGTCACTGAAAGGAAAGAAGTGTTCTCTGAGCCCTTGGCCTCAGGCTGATCCTCGGCCTTCCCCTGGGCCTCCTTGCTCAGCTGCCTGTGTTCTGCCTGTTCCTGATGTGGTCACGCACACATCTGGGTGCCTCTGTGCTCTCCTCCCATCTCCCTAGTTCCACATGGCCCTCACCACTCAGCCAGCAGGGGACCGTGATGGCTCAGACAGTGCCTGGGGCTGAGCAGCTGGGTGAGTAGGGGGTGTCTGTATGGGGCGGCACTTCTGAGCTCTGCTTCCGGCCTCCTTCCCAGGCAGCAGTACAAGAGCCCAGAGCCATCCCCAAGCTGAGAGAAGACCAGGCTAACAGACCCAAGGTGCCCTTGGGCCATCACACTCCCCTTCTCAAAGGGCAGTTCCCAGACCCCTGCAGGGTGTGGCATGACCACTGGCAGGAACTGGCAGTGTGAAAACTGCAGTGCTCAGAGAAGCTATTTTGT